TCTTTGGTGTTTATACATGTATATCAACTTCTGTTTTTAATCAAATACCAGTACTTATGGTCAAATCAACCATTTTGTCAAGGTATGACATATACTGTGGAATACTTAATTTTCGCTGGAATTAATTTTCGCTGAAAAGGCTTTTTGGGCCTTTTGTATGGAATTTATTTTCACTGATTTTTGATGAGTTTAATGTGAAATATAGGGAAAAAAGTATATTCGCTGGATTTTATTTTCACGGAATCTTTTCAGCGAAAATAAAGAAAATAAATTCCAAGCGAAAATAAAGTATTCTACAGTAGTAGATAATATTTGGTAATCGTAGTCCTAAGGAACTATTAAAAATAGCTAGACGTTACAAGCAATGGCTCTTTATCAATAGCATAGAAGTAAATGGTAAAACGTATAGGTATAACATAAGAAAATAGAATCACAAAATGATTCCACAATAGAACATGTTACGTGCATCGTATTGAAGATTCATTGTTCTTTACAATTGCTCTCTTACTATTGATTTAGCTAGATCCAGAGTCAAAATAGACCCCCCCCCCATCTCCCTAAATAAAGTCACTGCTTAGGTCTTCAAACGAAAAGTGTGTACTGTATAAGCGATTTGAGACTCAAACTAAAATGTCTCCTAATTCCCTTGTATTTTTACTTAATTTGGTCATAAAATGTGTTCTTGAATAACTAATGTAGAACACTCTGAAATAGGTGCACTGTAGCCTCGCTATAACGAACTCTTTGGGGGACATACAATTAGTTTGTTATAGTGAAATGTTCACTATAATGAAGCACATAATACATTGGGTTTGTTGTGAGCGGGAGACACGCTATGTGTTCATTATATCAGGAAGTTCATTATAACGGTGTTCATTATACTGAGGTTACAGCATGCAATTTTAGCAGATTTGACTCATGGCATGAATTAACTGAATCCTAATTTAGCTAAAGTGTCGACTATCTCCCTGTGAAAATAGACTTTCTGGTAAATTAGCTGCATCTTGAATTAGTGGTATTACAGATTAGTGAAATTAGCTAAAATAACATACTCGCTAAAAAGATGCGTTTTAAAGTACCGGGAGGGGGGTATATCAATGTATGATTTATTGTTGTCAACTAAGTGTTTGAAAATAAGCATAACTAGTTTTGTCGCAGCAGCAAGTGGCGTGGCATGTCATGGCTTTGAGGGCACACACATTCTACTTAATTGCTCGTAATTTGTATCCCTTGAAATGTCAGTTGCCTTGGGGCAAAGAAACTTGTGCATACTAGTGAATCATTTTGCTGTCTATGTTGTATCCAAATTTATCCACCACCCCTACCCTAGTTAAAATGGTGATCTAGTTTTGACTAGTTGACCATAGTTATCGATGTTAAAATTTTGTCAATTCACAAATTTTTACTACCTGGTTCTTTATTAGTTCTACCCAGCGGTTGTAAATTGAATATTGGTTATTGTACACTTTGGAGTAAGATACAACTTGAGTGGACAACAAAATGTTGGCTATAATTGCAACACTGCTGATCTGAACACCACCAAGCTTCCATCAAAACATTGTTCACAAAACCCTCCTAGATTGTTACTGAACTATTTTGCCGCACTAACACTGACAGATGGTAAAAAAATCACCTTTTTTGAAAAACAATAAATTTGCCTAATTTGAGTTGGATTAACTTGCATTGATCAACCAACCAAATTCATAACGGCTCAGACATTAGAACCCAACCATTGGTTGAGTTTTTCAGCTGTTGACCTCACACCTTCGTAAATTTGCAAAATGCGGTTAATAGCACATTTCCCGCTCAGTGCAAGATCCTGCGTTATGCGTGAAATATTGGTTACGTCGAAACATCGCGTGGAATTCAACAAACGCGTAATCATGTGCTATACACATTTGATAATGACCAGTTTTGATGAAGTAGTGGCATATTTTCTTTTAATTATATGCATTCAGACATTGAACTATAAAAAGAAAATTAAAAATCAAATAATTCATTTTTTTGCGGCAGACGTTCAAACCGCGTCGTTCACGAATTTCGCAATATCTCGCATTGAACGGAAAAATCATCTATAGACAAACTGCTTAAAAACAATTTAGATTTACAAGTTTCTTGACT